TCATAACTAGAAGAACACAAAACCAGCCACTCTTAATGATTATACATGGTGCTTTTGTGTTGGGGTGGTAAAGGACTGCTTGCTTGCTTCATTCACGTGGATCTTGAAAATTTGACTTCTAAATTTTGATCAGTGTGTAGTCATCCCAGTTTTGAGTCCCATTTTCCCAGCACAATTTTCCTTTCCTCATCAAGCCCCGAGGGATTCAAGTATAGGTGTGTTTTAATGATGTCGACACGTGTCTATTAGTGACTGTGGCTGGGATTAATGAATCATTTTACATAACCTAGCAAACAGCTATCCAGTGGTTTTCATCACTGACTTGGGCTTTAGTCCAACTCCTGACATAAAGGTGAAAGCCTCCATATCCTGTTACAGCTGCCTGGGCTGCGAGTTGCTTGAGTGAAGTTTTTTACTAATAGACTCTTAAAAAAAGGTGGAATACTCAGCAAATAATGCCTTCCAGGCCCATGTGTGTTGTAGTGAATTAGGTAATCACTGAARGATATTTTTTGTATACTTGAGTACTCACAGATGTTAAAATGGTGGATCAGGCTAACTTAATGTATTATGCATTGAAAAAGTGTCTTGGATCCTGAAATGTTTCATGAATCCAACCCATATGAAATTTTGTATTCAGAGGTAATTTCCTCAAGTCAGAAGTAAAATATGCATTCTGATTTAGCYATGAAGTAGTTTTCCTGAGAAACAATAAAAAAAAAGGCATAAATAGATGTAGGTCTGAACTGAGAGACAAATAATGAACTGTCCAGAGCTCCTCATATTTTAGGACTCATATGGGTCAACTTATAGATTTGTCTAGAGAGGAATCATAGTAGCTAGGATTTTCTTTTAAATGTATTTTAATCTGTTTCCAGTRTGTAATTTTTTGCTGCTTCATTACCAGCATGCATTTAAAGCAGGTKATAATATTCAAAATATAAGTATCAGGGCTAAACTGGTGGTTGTTCCTGTTCAGAACTGTCAGTGAGAGATTAAATAATCTGAGGTTATAAGCAAACATTTACCCATGAGTATCTGCCTAGAGTTGGAAATCAGTTTAATAAATTTAGACCTAAATTCTTACAGTAAATGTAAATCCTATATTCTATTAAATCAAAGAGAATGAAAWCTCTCTGCTCTGTCAAACCTCTAGTTCGTCCCTGTTGTCAGCCCCAGTTTGTCACATCCTGGTGACCTATCAATCATCCTGAAACACAAACTGAAAAGGAAAATCCCCATGAAAACAGCCCCCTAACATTTCCTGGTTGCCACGCAATCTGGCGTGCGGTTTTACCAAGAAGTCTGGTAACACGTACAAGTTCCACACACTTTCGTTCAAGTGGGCAGGGTGTTTCCTTTGATGTATCTGCAGTCGTTAACAGAACTGCTTTCTTTTTTTTTTTTTTTTTTTTTTTAAATACAAGACTACATTCACCTCAAAAACAAAACCCCCAGGTGGTGTCCTGAAAACAATGGAAAACAGGGARTAGTGCATGAAACATCCATACAGTACGTCAAACATCTTCATGGAAAATCAATTCCAGTGGGAAGAGGTGGTGTGAGTCAATGTAACTCATTATGCATAAGGGTTGCAGAATCAGGGTGGAAATGGAACTTGCACCTGGTTTGTTACAGTGACAGTTTCTAACAAGCCTCTTGTGTTAATTATCAGGGTGTAACTCACACTTCTCTGGGACAATGCTCTGTAGTYTGTGTGAGGCGATTCCATCCCACCAGTGGGCTCTAGCTAGCAAATTGTCTGGGGAACTGAAGTTAGTGATTTTGGCTGACAAGTATTAGCTGAACCGGGTTTATWTATGTGAATGGCAACAGCAGAGAAAGGTTTGCATGCAGCTGCTTTCCCGGGAAAGACAGGCAAAAAYGGCCTGTGTGGAATTTTATGTTCTCCACGCTCATAAAAGTCGGCGCAGACTTAGGGGCATTCCATGGCTTTGGTTTGTGTCACCCAATCTTATGGTCTGGGTGAGATTAATGACTGTGACAATTTAGACATATTTCATACTATTTGCCCTCTTAAAGAGCAATTATTAAACAGCTGTAGCAAATCATGTGGWTGAAAGAAGAAAGGAAAGATTGTGGCCTGTCAGCCCCCAAAGCCRGAGGGGGCAGGAGGGAAGGTTTGCRTGCTGTTGGTGGTTTCCCTSTGAGTCCACTCTGAATCAGCCCCTTTGAAACTTCAAAAATGTTAAAAGGATCAGCAATAGTTTGTCATACAGTGTGGGTTTTGCACTGCCTTGGCTCTTGAAACAGAATAAAAATCCATCTTTTGCATAATTGTGTTAAAGCCAGCTATGCAACATCAACATAAAAGTAATGGATTTGACCTTCCTGCCTGATGTGAAAAGGTGAAATATGTGTTTAGATTTGAATTTGGCAGTCATGTTTCTTCTTTCRCTTATTAAGGTATTAATTTAGTTCAGATCCCATCATTTGTTTTTTATGCTTTTCGTTGATGTGAGTAGAAATGTTTTCATTAGTTCAGTTAAGGGTCCCTATTKTCTGGACATTAAAATCTGAGACTGTAAAGTGATAATGGTGTGTTTCCTGACAGCTCTGGGTTTGTATTTTGTCATTTTTAAAATGCAGTAATTTCTGTCTTCAAAGAGCAGAGACAGAATTTACACAATTTGCTTAGGCTGTGAAATACCCTGTGAGTTTTGGGYACTGCTTTGGTCCTTTTTCCATCGTCAATTCTTCACGAATCTTCAGCGAGTCTGCTGCAGCAGTGGCACATTTGGAGCAGCAGGCATGGAAGATACCATCAAAGTGAGAACAAAGATGCTGTGTCAGCATTACTTTGGGCACGGTGCCACCCAACTGGATGTCCTCAGAGCCACTTTGGAGAACTGGATTGCCACACTTTTGCCTGGGGTTTCCTGGACACCCACGTGATCTCTCACGYTGCTGGAGCAAAGCTGTGGCTTTGTGCACGCAGAGAAATTGGGAGCACACGTGCAGTGAGCCTGGAACTGCCCAGATGTGTCCTGGTGTGCGGGATGCTCTCAGGCTGAGCATTTCCATGGAAAGTCTGCACATGTGGAGGCATGTAGCCCACACATAGTTCCATTAAGTCTATTTGTGTAAATAAGCCTGCTTTTTTAAACAGTCTAAGCAATTGGCTCGCTAAGTGGAATTCTATGACTGAATCTCAGAGTGGTAATAGAACATAAATTGTAGTKTTTAAAACCAGGAATGGGCTGAGGTTTGATGGCAGCTAAATCAACTCACTCTAAACAAAAGTAAACTTCACTTCATAACTCAGTGAATCTAGGATTAACTGCAATCAAATGGAACCCAAAGTAAGTGTATGTGGTATCTGCTTCCACAGTGAAAGCTTTTCAGAAATTAGCCCACAGTTATCAGAAAAGATGTTGATGCTCCCTCCAAATCTAGCTCCAAAATCACTGAACTTGGCTCTTTAATCAAATAGAACTTCRTGATCTTATCCCCATATTCAGCATTTAGTCTTGGGTTTCACAGAGTATGTTTTAGGAAGAGAGATTCAAGAAGAAGAAGAAGAAGAAGCCTTTTTCTTGTCTGGGTCATTTATGCTTAATACAGCTACTGACTGGACAAGTGCCAAAACAATGTCAGGCTTTGAACAGGAAATATTTGGAGCCAAAGTAGAAGTTACTTACATGGCAGCTGTGAGAGCAGCTYCATCCCAGAGCGGYAGTCAGGGAGTGGCAGARGGGCCATAAATTTTTTAATARCAGATKATAATAAAAATATTRAAAAATATTAAGAACTGYGGTCAGCAAGACTGTTAAACAGCTYTGCRATRCATACTGATTTTGTCTAAAACAAAGGTTTT